TGGTAACCCCATAGCAAAACCATTAGTTTTTTTAGAAAATTTTCTTCATTGAGAGGTTTTCACTCTGATAGACGGCTCAGTGGATTTCTCTACGAAAAACTTCGACGTGACATCATCTTCCTGGTCAGATGTTGCAGACAATAATCTCTAATGCTTTTTCTTTGGCACTATTGATTAAATCTATTCAACTACCCGTTTCCTACATGTAGTTGCGGTTGGGACTTACAAAACCAACAAAGAATGATTTTTTCTAAATCAAATCGTAGCACTTTGTATGAATATAACGTTAATATTTATTTTCCCTTCATCAGTCGAGAAACTTCTACCGTACTATTCCTATATGTGCTGTTCTTCAACCAGTCAACTCAGGAATGAAATATGTTCGTGATAGTTACAAATGGTATAACTATTCAGTAATTAGATTGTGTATATTTATGTTTCTCTTATTATAAGTTTCATTTTGACCCATAGATTATTGTTGCATGATTTAGTGTTCTTATATTATACTCAGTTTATTAATTACTGTCTCCCACATTCACAGCCACTTTCTGGCTTTATTGTGTATGAATGTTATTTCTTGTTTTATGGTGCGTTGCGGTCTGTTTGGTTACTTTATAAACCCAGTATGTCTCAAAAAATAATTCGCATAATGGAGGCTGTTGTTGGCATTGTGGACTCAGCTGGACGGGCTAGGCGAGCAACGGACCAATAGGACGCTAGGCTGATCAGACCGAACGAACGTCATTGGTTTAGTACAGTACAAGGGCGAATAAGTCGTATTTTGATTGGCGAATGAATTACGTGATAACTGACCGATCATAATGATACACTAGTGTCAGTTAACAAGTATTTGCAATACTGTAAAAAATAATGTTCTCTTGAAAAAACTAGACTCATCTAATTGAGAGCTTCAGCTATCATTATCCCCAAAGTCCATGTATTGTTGATAGTCTTTCTGAAAATATCTAAGTTTCTAAGATGTGATAACCTCTTCGTGTAGGCTTGATAATCGTTTCTTCCAGTTTCTCGGCATGACACTTTATTTATATACATCATGTAAAAGCTAATTTGTAACACACAATTTAACATTTTAGCTTTTAATATTGCATCTTTACGTTTAAACACCTGTCAAATTTCCTTGTATATACTGACCATCCAAAATATCTAAGATTCCAAAATATACCTATTGGTTATATCCTGCTTCATTCATCAATCCTACTGGCCGTGTGAACGGATAAAAATTAATAATCATAAGTGGTCTTCAAAAGTAGTCACAAATTAATTTAATGTGAACGAGAACTACTCTACCAGTTACATAATTGTATTCAGATAGCGGTGAGATTATAATTTATAGACGAACCAATCAGGTATCAAATTTTGGCGCGAAATCCACTAATCCATTTGGATAAACAGTTTTGGCATTATAGCTTATGTCAGGTCGTGTTTAAAACGCTAAATCTAATTCCTAACACTAACCATCAACTGTAAATCATAATTCTAATTCCTCAAACAGGTTTATAACCCTCATTTGGTCCTAGTTATTAGGTGGACACTGAAGGTTAGTTTAGTGTCACTCAAATGTTGTCCATAAATTATAGTCTCACCTAAAATTTCAGTGATAGTAGTTTTAATTATTACAAAATAATCAACGAAAGCAAAATAGTTCAATTAATTATCGATAGGTAGGCATTTTTGTGAATTCATGATAGTAGCAAACTTATCCGACTGATTCTTCGCAATAATCTTGATGTCGGTTATTCTGTAAAACAGTTGACTGAAATCTATTTCAAATCGCAGTATATTTTAGCACACTTCTCTGAACTGAGTTACCCCTTTGATAAATACCAAAGACTTGTCTTAGTTATGCCATTATTATAAACAATGCATTGTCACTTATTCAGTGGTGATTATACAACGGAATTATGTGGGTTAGACCAATTTATACATCATTTAAAGTTAAATTGGTAATTTGCTTATTATCATTCACCATACTATCGTTACGGGCACTTATTCATAACCACTACGCCATTTTAGATTGACAACTAATCTAATTATACGAGAGACCAAATAACGAGGCGAAAACGATGTTCGTATACCCAAAAATATGAATCGCTTGTCTATTGGTTGATTATTCAATAATCTGTTTGGATATTTTCTATTCCTTTTTTGCCTGCGATCTGACTACAATCCTCATAAAAGTAAATGCCGCGAAAAACAGACCTTCCGTTTAATTCTATGTATTACACTTAAGCATACACATGAACAAATGCAGATGAAGAAAACCAGTGTAGCAGCAGTCTCTGCATCAGTAGGCCTTAGCATACACAAGGGGAAAACCAAGGTCCTCAAATACAATGCGGAGAACAGCAATCCAGTCACTCTTGATGGCGAAACTCTGGAAGATGTAGAATCTTTCACATACCTGGGGAGCATAATCGATGAACAAGGAATTTCAAATGCAGACGTAAAGGCGAGGATTGGCAAAGCAAGGATAGCATTCTTACAGTTGAAAAACATACGGAACTCAAAACAACGTTCAACCAATATCAAAGTCAGAATCTTCAATACGAATATCAAGGCAGTTCTACTGTATGGAGCTGAACCTTGGAGAACTACAACAACCATCATCAAGAAGGTGCAAGTATTTATAAATAGTTGTCTACTCAAGATGCTCAACATCCATTGGCCGGATACCATCAGCAACAGTCTACTGTGGGAGAAAACAAACCAGCTGAAGAGGAAATTGGGAAAAGACGGTGGAAGGACATACATTACGCACATCATCAAACTGCATCACGAGACAAACCCTGAATCGGAATCCTGAAAGGAAGCGGAAAAGAGGAAGACCAAAGAACACATTACGTCGGGAAATAGAAGCAGATATGGAAAGGATGAATAACAGCTGGAAGGAGCTGGAAAGGATTGCCCAGGACAGGGTTGGATGGAGAATGCTGGTGAGCGGCATATGTTCCTTCACGAGGAGTAACAGACGTAAGTTGAGTTGAGTTGTTGGTTACACTTAAGCTAATCCCGTTTGTGCGATGGCGGTAATCAGATGCCAAATATGGATGAGTTTATTTTAAGCAGACAGACACTAAAGTGGGGAGCAGTAAAACGAAGCAGAAGCAGAAAGGGCAACGACCAACTCGACCATACCACTCATTTCAAGCATTAATATACCTGGGAATAGATTATGCGTATTGTGACATGGATTGGATATACATTACGGGACTCACAAAACTGCATCACGAGGCTAGCCCTAAACTGGAATCCTGAAGGGAAGCGGAAAAGAGGAAGGCCGAATGACACACTATGTCGGGAATTGGAAGCAGATATGTAAAGGACGAATATCAACTGAAAATGGTTACCCAGTACGGGGTTGTTATTATTCGTATTGCGTAATCTAGTATTATAATCTCTCCATTACATCATCTTAGCTATTCATTGTTCACATTTCCTCACGAAACTAGTACTTGAACAAAAAATTTTCATATATATAGGATTGTACAGCTTGATAATAAACTCATTGAAATGAGATCCCTTCTCTGAACTTCGTGTTTTTAGTGTTTAAATAGGAAAAATCAGAAATACTTATTTTTTCAGGTATGTTTCATTTTAAATAGCAAATCAGCATAGTTAGCAATGAAGAAATAAAATAAATTTACTGATGGATCCATGACAGTAATAAGAAATTACATTTTCCCTTCAAATTGGTTCTCATAATTATTGACTTTTTTAAAAAACAAAACATACTTTAGCGAGTTAGTTTTCTACGGGACGGGGTCGCTAACCCCATACCCAACTCTCCTTCTTTGTCCGGGCTTGGGACCGGCAGTAGCCTCCGGAGGGACTTCAGGCGGAGTTAAAAAAAACATGAATTACATCAATATATCTTTCAACTGATAAAGATGAAAAATCTTTTTAGTACAAGCAGGAATTCATTCATTCATTTGTTTGTTTTATTTTTTTTTTCCTAATTAACATTATTTATGTAAAAAAAACACACACATTATGTAGTAATATTCTTCCAAAAGTTGATATTTTTACTCACTTATTGTATGATAAATACTCATAAACTGTATAAAGCTTGTTCATTTCTGATCTTTATTTCTGTTTTTATATCAAGTTTAATATACTATGAATATTTATAAATATTTCTTAGTTATTGTTAAAGTATTCTATTTAGTAATTATAATAAAAAATACATAATTTTAACAGGGAATTCGGTAAGATTTTACTTAGATCTATGTGTACCTCGATGACATGACTCAGAATCGATCACAATGAAGTAAGTGCATACACTTTTTGTCTTCCCTTAAACTAAGAGATTAAAACTGTTTCATATCTTTCTTTCTATGAACTAATTCTTCCTTCCTGTACTATGTCCTTATATGTAATCTTTCTTTTATATATTACTTCTATGAATTCGGTGTTTATCTTGTCGTGTTAATGAGGTATGGCAGCTTCAACCGATGCATATATATGCCTGGTTCTACGTTTTAAATGGCCGACTGACTGGTCTGTCTATTGGTCTAGTTGGTTAAGCGCCTGGCGCGAGACTAATAAGTCCTGGGTTCGAATCCCGTGAGGCAGGGTCGTGGGCGCGCACTGATGAGGAGTCCCAATATAGGATGAAACGGCTGTTCAATGCTTCCAGGTTTTTCATGGTGGTCTAGCTCCAATTGATTCATGATTTCAACTGTTGAAATGACCTGTCTATTATCCAATGACTGGTTGATAATCAAAACTTACATGTACGCCTTACTGAAATATATTTTATATTTGAAAATTCTTGAAGTAAACTATTCATACTTTAAAAGTTAAACAAAATGTGTGTGTTCTGGAACAATTTTAGAAAAAAATGCATTCGATTTCAGTTATTTCATAAAATCAATAAACCAATCACAATTTATTTGTATGATTTAATTAATATTAATTTATAATTTCTTTTTCTTGATAGTTCTACAAGTATATAAATTATAAAATCTGATATTCATAGAATTATCCACTTGTTTTAATTCTATAGAAATGAAAATAAATCAGGGTTTATGTAATTACATATACCAACTTGCTAAAACAAAAAGTATATTTAGATATAAATTTATGCAATTCTTGATGTTCAGATAGTCAGTTATATATATAACTCGTATAATGAAGTTATCATTAAATTCGAAACATGTATACACATCAAAACATTCATATATCTCATTTTAATCTATTCATTTTCAGACCAAGATTTTGTACATTTCATACCTTTTGGTGAAGCGGATGATTTTGAAGCACTCGATGGAGCTGATATATTCAAATTCAGCTTGTTTAAATGTATCCATTCACCGGAATCTGTATAAAATAAGTGATAAATATTTGGTTTTGAAACTTTCTCAGTTGAATTTGATGTTTCTGTATGTATTGTGGGTATAGGATTTAAATGTTTGCTATTGTTGTTATTATTACTGCGAGTGTTAAGCAGTTTAGTTATATCCGGCGAAGAAATTACTTTTGGAATAGTTAAAGAAGATGAATTTGTACTACTTATATTACTTGTAGTAGTACAATTAAATAATCCTTTAGGTAAAATATCGTTCATATTCATAGAGTTCAAATATCTATCATGTTTTCTATTTCTTTCACAGATATAAAAATTTGAATTAAGATTATTTTTTAATGTTCGAACATTCCTCCGATCAACTTTTTCATGACGTTTACGTAAATTTTCTAAAACATCAGCAAATTCACGTCGTTCTAAAGAAAGTCGTTTTAATTCCCATTCTAATTGTTTGTCCAATTGAGATCTTAAAGATTGAAGTCGATTTCTTTCAACTAAATTTCTTGTTTTCACAAATCTTGCAACATCTGGATTACGTGAACATTGTTCCCATTCAGTTTCCTCACGAACTTCATCTAAATTAGTTTGATCCTTAAAAAAACCCAATAATTTATAAAACATTTAAGAAAAAATTACCATTTGTGAATTGTGATAAAATTAATTTCTTCTTTACAATATTGAAAAAAGAACTTTATTATATTTCGTTCTTTTTCATTTACACTAACTGTTGAATAGGACTATATGGCACTAAGTTCTATTTTCACTGAACACTTGCATTATAAAACAAATGGGTGACCTTTAAATCAAGGTTAAAACACCCACGCAAAGAAAGTAGACAAATGAAAACACTATGACAACAGTTTAGTATTATTTCGATGGTATACTCAAATAAACACAAATGTTTGTTTCAAGTTTACATACACATGATGTACACACTTCTAATGAAGATAATATGAATAACAACTAAATATTATATGTTCTAAAATGTAAATTTGCATAAGTATGTATGTGTATATGTATAATACATGCAGATAAAGTGTACCTAATAAAAAGATCAAAAAATCTAAAGAACTTTTTCCAAAAAAAGTATTGTGAAGTGGACAACATAGAGGGATAATTATTGTGACTGGTTCAATAAACTATAAGCTTAGTTCTTAATAATTGAAGTAGGTAGTAAAATCTGAAAGATTAAATTTTACCATTAAATTTCATGAAGATTGGGTCATGATTTATTTAAAACGTAGCTGATGTGTTATATACAAATAATCAGAGAAAATTCAAAGTAGAAATCAAACTAAAACCATTTTCTTAATACAATAATGAAATTAAGAGATTTGCTGTATGATTTTATTGCTTATTCAATTGACCATTCAAATTCGTTCAGTTAGAAAAACAACATTCTTCTATAAATGATACAATCTGAGACAAAACTAATTTAAGCATGGAAAAATTCGGTTTCAAAAAAGTCACTTTCTTAAATTAGGAAACGAAAAGTGATCAAGAAACTGGTGTAATTAAGAGTTACCTGTTTGTAGAGATTATAAGTATGTTTTGTGTATTTGAATTACGGCCAACAGTAACAAATTAAAAAGTTGGATGATGAACAGAAGTCCTTGAATGAACATCAACTCTGGGATTCATCCACATCCAGCTGACCAGTCCCAAGTAGGACGAAACGCAAGTCTTAAATTTCATTGTTAGCCACCTTCAAACTCTCCTTAAAGTGCTTGTGACTTAATGACATTATTGAAGTAATCCACACATGAGGCACCTGTACCAAAAAGACTAACCAATTACAATTCTAAATAACGATGGGATGATCCAAACAACCAATACAAATGAATTTTAGACTGCTTATTGAATTTGTCCAGATCTTTCATGAATAACTGATTTCCAACTATTTAAAATCACAGAGATATCGTTATACATAAGATGAAGATAAACGTCTGAATTCGAAAAAAATTTCTTGCCTTTGTTTTGCTTATGGCTTTAATCTGTCATTCACTTATTTTTTAAGAATGCTGACATTTCTCAAATGGTTCTCTAGTTTCACAGAAACGTTTTGACTAACTTTCAAACTCCAGAAATTGTCTACGGTATTCTCTGAAGAAAAGCTTCTCCGTTTGTCCCTCTTTAAGTGTATACACCGATTTCCTTATTTTTATAAGCCAAGGTACATTAACCTTTCTTAGTGTTTGCTTTTGATACGTGTTAGAAAAACCAGTTCAACCTGGCTTTACAAGTATGATGGGTAATTGGCTAAGTGTGTGACCTTTGAACACTGAATGAACCCTGACGAATCAACTATTTGACACTACTGGTTTTAAAGTTGTTTATAGAATTTTATAAATTTCTTCGTGCTCAACTGCTTAAAACAACGGAACTCTTGTTTACCCATGAGGTGATACTTGGACTTTCTATATAAGAGTTATCAGCTCTCCCTTGTCCTGGATCTAATAATATTACTTACATTTCGTACATTATTGCTTATGGAAATGTACACCTCTTCTTTTCATAATCCCTTTCTTTTCTACTTGCTTTTAATATCATTTCATATAAACTCACTAACATCTTTAATCGCTGGTATGAAACACACAAATCATTTCACTCCCTTCACATTATAATCCAATGCTACCACACCATTTTCACATCCCTTATTTATTTACACACATCCTGTATCAGTTGAAGTCCTCTACACTATATCACCTGCTACCGTAATCTTCTCTTAATTACATCATGTTTACTCAAATCACCGCCGCAAACTAAGCCCTAAAATATCATACATTTAAGTCTACAAATTCATTAGGGTTTCTTTCACTAGAATTTTTTAGTGAGTATTAAAGATTTGCTAAAATACTAATAACTGAAGCGTCCTTATTATTCTACGATTTATTCGTAATAAATGTCTTGTGATTATGCCAACAGAAGTAATCATCTGTAAATATAGACAATTTTAGTCCATTATTACATCACTGACTGATTGACTAGTGATTCTACTGATAATAAAAGTATACTGTATGCATCTATCTATCTATCCGATAATCTACTCGTATAAACAGAAGAGTGCATTTCATTAGAGCAGAACACAACAGTTTTCCTAAATATGTTCTTAAAACTCTTTACATCAAATAGTTTTCGATGGTGTTACCTATTCCATTCAAGATATAGATTATTTACATTTGCAATGATCATGTACAAATCTCAATCTTATTTCAGATTCATAAATGGATTAAAATCAATGATTTGAATATTTGGTAACTGTTATGACTTTCATTACATTGTTTTCAATTTATGCTTATTTCAGTCACTGGCTAAAATTCAGTTCGGTAATTTCTCTTGAAGCTGTGTATACGAAAATTCATTTCAAGCTTGAGTTGGCAACAGAAAGACAGATTCAGTTATGAACAGTAACAATAGGAAAAGTCAAATTCTTACAATCAGTAACGAATATTAATATTTATTATTTATTTGAACACCAAATATATACACGCGACACAAAACGGTGAGAATGGGAAGAGAGAAAAAAAGGTAAGGAGCATAAAAGAAAAAAAGGACAACGACCAGATTAGTGTAAGGTGGTGTAATAATAATAATAATAACGTGGGAAAACGGAAAAGTACAAACAGAAGAATCCTTTCAGTTAAGGAAGATACAACCACTTTTTATGAAGAAAGTAAAAGAACGTTACAGCAGGATCGCCACTGGCTGCTATTCTGAGCCATTTCTGATAACGTCTCTAGCCACTGTGTTACACCATCTCTAGGACCCCAGTCAAAGAGTCGTGAAGGACCAACAGAAACTAGCACTTTGCAGATTTCTTTCATACCACGACACCATGTCGTACACTGACTACTTCTCCGCCTTTTCAAGCGTCGGCAAATAATGCATGACGTGGAATTCTCTGGTGTGACATTCATAGAAAATGTCCAAGACACTGAAGTCGGTGTTACTCAAATAGTGTTGCCACTGGATGTCAGCGATCCCTCGGAGAAAACGATGATCAAACACAGAGAGTCTTCTAACATCCTCAACTCGGAGAGGCCAGGTTTCACAAGCATAGAGCAAAACTGCTCTCACCGACGCGTTGTAGATCCTATCTTTCACAGCCAGATTGACAGCACGAAGGCGCCAAAGATGGCCCAGATTGGCATAAGCCGCTCTGGCTTTCACTATACGTGCATTAATCTCATCACTCATACCCCCACCAGCACTAATGCAGCTACCCAGATACACGAACTTCTCGACTACTTCTATCTGCTCACCATCCAGAGAAACACAAGTGAGTACAGGATTAGAATCCTGTGTCTCGTAGAAGGACTTTGCACCTCGGAGGTGCAAAGCACATACCATACCTACGGACACTGATTGCCAACTGATTAAGTGCGGATTGCATGGCTTGTTTATCATCGCACAGTAAGAAAATATCATCCGCATACTCAAGGTCGAGAGGTCTTTCTCCAGGCAACAGATCCACACTGCTATCACTTACATCCATCAGAGCTGTTTCCAGAATGTCATCGACGACATGGTTGGTGAGGAATGGTGAGATTTGGCAGCCATATTTAACTTCACTGCTCGAATGGAACAATGGAGAGAGGTGCTTGCATGCCCCCACTCTGCCTGAGGTGTTTGCGTAAAGTGCCTTTAGAATGTTAATAAACTTCTCAGGTACACCCTTCTTCAATAGACAATCCCAGAGAACAGTGCTGTCCAACGAATCGAAGGCAGCCTTGATGTCAAGAAACACGATTGTTGGCCTTTGATAAGTATGACGGTGTTCTAAGATTTGACGGAGGGTGAAGATATGACCAATACATCCTCGACTAGAACGAAAACCAGCCTGCTCCTCGCGAGCCAATCTTTCTCGGGTTTTCAACAACCTACGAAGTATGAAAGAAGACGCCCGATCTGAGCATTCAAGTCTCCGGCTAGTACTACAATACCTGTCGAACGCACTTTTTGGAGAACAGTTAACTGGTGATAGAATTCATCCTTAATTGCATCCGGCATGCAATCTGTCGGGGCATACGCGGAGATGACGAAAAGACATCGTTTCTCACGCCGATTTCTTCTCACTTTGATGGAACTTTCTAATCTAACAGCACATAACCGACTTAATGGGGATCCAATCGATTAGTGCTGCCTCAGCTCTAGCGCTTAGTGCGACACCAACGCCAGCAAGACCAGATGAAGATGCCACAGGGTCCCCGGATAAGTGCACATAAAACAAGCTTTTCGAAGCGACAGATGGAGAGCGAATTTGTAGTACTTCACCAGTCTTGAATACAGGTATCGGATAGACAACACACGTCAATATTAAAACTTTCCAAAGACATACATAGCCAGTCCTATCTGTTGTCTGACCTGCATAAGTCTGCGAACGTTGAAGGCAGCCAGTCTGAGTGGTGCATGTGACTTCAGAAAAACTGCTTCAGTATTCGTATTTGGTGGTAGCATAAAATTTTCAACCAGGCAGTGACTCGGGAACGTTTAGATAGAACCGAGTTTCCAACATAGGCGAGCTGCTGTGTAAGTCGAAAAACAAGGATACATAAAGTGGGAATAAAAGAGAGTGAATAAATGACGTAGTAAATAATAACATCAATGTGGAACTTTTGACCGTTAATGGAAGCAAGTACAGTATTATCCGATAGTATCGTCATTTCCTTCTGTTTGTGTGTGGGCTGTGATATCTCCTGGGTGCCCAGACCGAAGCAGGTGGTTTTCTTAGAGGGCCACACTCCGAGCCTATGACCTAAAGGTATGACTCACAAGGCGTTGGAGGATCGTGAGGAGATGCATTCCTATGGTAGCCGGTGACCAACAATTGGTTCATACGCCATTTGTTCCCTCAGGGTACTGGGGCCCATCTGCACCATAGGTTTGGGATCCGGTTAAAGCGCTGTACATTCGCTTTTCGTTCTCTCAATTTCGTAAACAACACCCCCGCCACGAGAAGGCATTGAGTAGGGCTTCCCTGGCAGAGGCTGTATACGCGTGGCCGTGTGAGAGCATTTCGAGAGGGAGGGCGGTCCCACCCCACTTTCGACCATACTAGGGTATTTGAGGGCAATATCAAATCTCTTACTCAAGTTTATTCTGTCTTCCCTGATGTTTGATTTCCTTCCCACTAAAATTAGGACTGATAAACATGGTTGAAAAACACTTAACATAATTCCGGAAATTTACTATAGAGTACTTAAAAATGAGCGATTTGTTTAACTGTCATTTGGAAATAACTTCATATATTCTTGATGGTTTGTTTCAAGTTTTGATTATGCTGTAAAGATATTATTTCCTGTTCTGTTTAGTTTCCCAATTCATTTCATTCAAAGTTTCTAATGGTTCTGGCTTAAGGGCAACCATGAAATTAAACGGCTCTATGCTAAGACGGGAAAAAGCGCAGATTTGTTTTAATTTGGAGTAATTTTTGTCATGTATCATGCGCATTGCATTAACTAGGTTTAAATTCATATCTTGGAAATTATCACATTCCTAGTTTGATTTTAACTACTTAGATGAACAACACAGATAAGTTGCTTAAACTAGGAAGTCTGCTTACATGAGCTAATGTGATGTGTTTTGAAGCATGTTCACCGACAACAAGCTATATCAAAAGTTTACCATTGCTCCAGTTGACTTCTAAAAATATGTTCATTGAATCGATAGTTACATAAATTAGCTTCATCTGAATAAAAATGCGTAATAATTTAGTTCATTATATTTTTTCTCTTAGTAATAAAATCAACTGGCCTATGGATTAAATACTACTGGACTATTTTCCGTCCATTTATGATTTGTGATTGTATGCACAAAGCACTTATGAATTTTGAATAAAACAATGTAATTTTCACAACTGTGACCAACCTGTTTTATCATTTCACAAAGTAATTTTTCAGCAATTATATTGTATACAATACTTGTACAGAACAACAAATTATGCATAGATATCACACTCTAATTATGGAGAAAAGTCAAACTATTTTGATGTCTGTTTACTTATACAAACGAGAGCACGTGAAGTTTGTCTGAGACCAATCGGTGTCCATCTTTTCTGAAAATAGACATCCACCACAACAAATTTATATTTCACTTGCCCTAGTATTTCTGGTAATCCCTACCAATACACCAATACAAAACACTGTGAATACTTTTGGGGGGGGAGCCATTCAGTTTCTAGTAACTGGAACAATTTCTCTGGAAGACTGAAAGGTAATAAAGAGTGGTTGTTGTTGATAGATGGATTGCTTCTTATCATCAATTTTCGAGACGCTTGTACTACAAGGACTTCAATATTAATGAAGGAGATTGCTTCCTTCTCTGAAAACTGACTAAAGACATAGGTTCAAGTTTGTTAGACGTTTTGTTGATAGAAATCCAAAAAGACTGATCCATATTTGAATTCATTTCATTGTATACAGATTACACTCAATGATTAATAATCAAAGAAAGTCAAAATGAACAATTATCATACAGAATTAGCATAATTGAATACTATACTGAACAAAAGTCAAGTAATCGAAAAAATCACACTGAAGTAATTAATACTAATTAATGTTACAGTGAGCAAAAGTTACGATGATTCCATACGAGAATCAACTAGATGGAAATCACGTTCAAATTAATACATAGTTTTTCACAATTTCTTATTAATAAAATTGGATTGCTCATAAAACCCTTAAACATTTGTTGAATTCGGAAACTTCTTTGATAGTTCATCCTTATAGCATCAAAATACGTCATACATTATAATAATATAGATATGCCGTATTGGGGAAAGAGCTTAAATAAACTATTTCTAGTACTCAGTTCCTACTTTGTACCCACTTATAACCTACAAAGAACGTGTTTATCTCCAAATCGTGATTGCACGATCGATTTCTTGGTTCCCTATTAAATTAAATCTATGGATTTAAGTGAGTAATAACATTTGAAGTATATTTAGATGTAGAAAAAAACTTGAAGTTTCTAATGGAAACCTCAAAAAAATCTAATATATTGTGTAATCAATCTATATAGTCTTTAGAACTAAATAAAAAAGAAAACACGATTATAATTTTGTAAACTTTATTTAGAACAACAGGAAACAAAAATAACCAAAAAACTACTTGGTGTTTGCGTGATTTTCTGTTGTATTACCATTTTGTCCAGAAACCTAGATAAATGAACGTAAAAATCATTAGTTGAGTATTCTTGTTCATATTAAGAAAATAATTAACTCAGTGTGGTGTGTGCTACTTATATTGACATAAGTAGTAGATGATGTCAGTCGTGAACAGAATGTCTGGCAGCAGAGAAGCAAGAGGATCGAACAGTAAAGAATGGAAACAGAATGCAATCTGTATGAAAATGCAAGAACGATGAAGTCTGATTCATTTTAAAACAATCGATGGACATTTTGCAAATTAAGCATTTACTTTATGATTGTTAGATTTTATTGACAAGTCCTGTAATTTTTGTGTTAAATACATTCGATTGTTCCCACTGGTGTCCTTGTTCGCTACATCAGAATCTATGGGTATATAGATAAAACTGACTAATATCACATTTTACCCACTAACTGCTCTAGTTAAAAAAAGGAAACTTAATAGCATAGTACTTGTGTCAGGTTGCAGTAGACTGAAAGAAATAACGAATTAAAAGAAGGCATATAAATGAAACCTGTGATTAAAAAACATTAACTAGATTTTTCTATTATAGTTGTAGTTATTGAACCTGACTATCTACTTTGTGAAAATTCCAATAGGTAGGTCAATATTTCCTAATATGATAGTTGATGAACCTAGTGACGGTCGCAGCATCTCGAACAAGATTAAGTTAACTTGGTCATTCAGTCATCAAAATAGAGTCAGACAAAGATGCGAATCGGTCCGAGTTGCTATAGCACATTAGCGCAAGATGACAATAACTAAGATGAACGAAAACACGTGGTACAGAGGTGTATGAAGGAATACTGAAATTCAATATCCAGAATAAGATAAGTTGTGAATGCTTCTTCATGTTCAATCTCTAGACAGTAATCACGGTTACTGCGTGGACCCCGACCAAGTAGACTACATCTAACAACACAGCCCAGATCAATAATTTCTGGCTTTATGGACAGATGGTTCGGCCGAGCCTAGTTTTCTTCCAGCATACTATTACGCCCTCAAACAACACCTTACGTAACATGTTATAATCACCCAATTGGATAAAAATTTACAATCTCACTAACTTATCTGCCACTTTGCCTAATGCTAAAAGCCTAACCTTAGCATCACTCAATAGGCAGTCCCATACAACGTGACCAAGGCTTGGAAGACAGTTATAATAAAAAGTCCTCAGCCTACTTATCCCCTTTACTTTCGATTTTTATGTCTCATAGCTATGAAATGATGCACAGAACAGTATACATGCATTTTAGTTGGTAGACAGGCATCTTGCCTACACAAAAAGAAGAGAAAGTTAGCAAAAGGTAAACTTTTTGTATTCGTGTGCCGATTTACTCAAACACCAACCCGCCAGTGTTCATGGAACTCAAGAAAAATGAAGTTATCAACACACAAAACCACTTCATTCTCTAAAGCGTTAATGCACATTTCTGAAAGCTGTATTTTGCCTACGTCTTTATCAAATAGGACAAGATCACCTGAGTATTCTTAGTCGATAAGCTAACCTCGTGGCAAAAGGTCAACCTCTGAAAGGTTAGGTGAATGGAGTTATTTCTAGGACATTACAGAGAAGTTAAATAAAACGTTGGGTAGTGAGCAACCATGCTGAAAAGCACTTGAGGTCAACAATTCTGGTGAAAAATCACCATAAACTTTGATTCAACCAATAGCATTCAAGTGGAGAGCGTGTAAAAGCTTTACAAGCCTTTTTATACACTTTTCGATAACGAACATTGACATGCAACCTTTAGTTCAACAGAGTAAAACGAGACCACAAGACCAAGGAATAAAATTAAGGTTGGGTATCAGTACGTATGCCTGGGTTCGAAAACCAGGCGAAGAGGGAGCATTTGATCAAAACATTTATGTCCAAGTATGAAAGTACCCTGATTGTTTCAGGTTCGATCTTTATGAGCCCTAGTTAAGCGGTAGATGATTAGAGTACGTTAGATCCTACATTAATCAAAATGATTCTTTTTATGATTATCATAACATAATTATTCTTTCTTGTAAACTGGAGAGATTGAGATCGAAGCCAGTCAGATGGGATTATGTCCAGCTCTCAAACTTCAGCTTAGTTTCTAAAACTGGGCAACCATCTTTATGGATCTTATTACGGTTCACCGCTCTTCATCTTATAGTTCTGCTTCTATTTTATTTGTTTCTTACCACAAAATTTCACAAGGTATTAAAAATACTCTATACAAAACAAAGATAGGATAGTCATATAATTAGAACATCAAAGTTCATGTCTCAGACCAAAACACAAGATGGGTTTCGATATTGTATTCTAAGAATACCGCCGATTTTATTGTGGAGTACCTTTCATAAAGACCCAAGTTACTAAATGGTATAATTTCGAAGATTTCATTAACGCAGATGTGATGTACGGCCACCAAGAACTAAATCATCGTAAAAATCACGGATTTTACGGGGACCTGTCATTAACTGATCATTTTTTTCATTTACCACTTTTGTAAGAATAAGCTCGAATGGACTCTGAATTTTACGCTTTAATTGTGACAGAAAATATCAAAGATTTTCTGACTTTAATTCACATATACGGAATAGCTTAGAATAAACGCTTTCTGTGTTAGAGCAGAATACGACATTTTAAAAAAGAATAAGTAATGAAAGAGAACTTAAATCATCAACTAGAAATAACAAACTAGCTTACAGTTATAACATCCCAGCTATTCTAATTAATTGTTTCGGAATATAATAACTTTATCCTTGTGAAATTTATCAGTGTTTTTTTCAATATGCTAGATATTCTAGATAACCAGAAAACGTTTATTTTAGGATGTTGTAATTTGTTGCACAGATCTAAGCTCTTTACAATTTTGATAAGCAGGCAGAATTTTTCCTGAAGAATAGTATACCATCTCAGTCAGTCAGCTAAAACGTAGGACCAGGCACATATATACATCGGTCCAAGTTGCCATACCTCATTAGCACAGTAAGATGAACACCGGATTCATAGGAGTGGTTAGGTCAAAGGTGGTAATATATAAGAGAAAGATTGCATATAAGGATATAGTATAGGAAGAAAGAATTAGTTAGTAGAAAGATATGAAGCGATTTTAATCTCCTAGTTTAAGGAAAGACAGACAGTGTATACACCCACCCAACTGTGATCGATTCTGAGCCATGTCACCCACAGTCTCCAACCATTGGTTACGATAGTCACACGGATCCCAACAAAGCAGTCTGCATCTAACAACATGGCACAAACTAGAAGTTTGTGACTCCAAGAACTGATGCCATGTTTTGGCTTGACCACCCCTAACTTTCTTCCAACCACCCCCAACACCGGTTAGCATCGCGCGTCGTGGTAATCGGTGTTCAGGCATACGCAACGCGTGGTCCAACCATCTCAGTCGATGAAGATTCACAACCTCATCAACTGATTTACCATCATTCCCTAATACCCTGAGTTTAACCTCATCATTACTCACTATTACCCAGTGATCCCAGTAGTGCTGGCAATCTTTCTAAGACACCTGGAATAAAATACTGGTAACTTATGAGTACCCCCTCTCTATCCCTACTGCCCACGTCTCGCAGCCACAAAATAAAACAGAACCAACTGCTGCCCTGTATAGTCGTCCCTTAATTGATAGACGGATATCTCGCCTTCGCCATAAGTGACGTAAGTTGGCAAAAGCCAAACGACCATTTTGAATCCGTGATGAGATTTCATCAGACACCAACCCATTACGGCTGATCAGATTTCTAAGATAAGTGAAGTTGTTGACGTGTTCGACTACTTCACTCCCTATCCACAGTTCAGATGTTGACCCAAGTCAGCGCTGAAGCAATAACTTGCATTTCGAGGGGGAAGAAACGCATCCCAAACATTCTGGCATTGTTGCTTAGTGCTACCAAAATACTCTGCATTTTGTCAGCGTCTTCACCAAACAGGACTACGTCATTTGTGTATTCTAAGTCAATAAGTGACCCTCCTCATAGGAGGTCAATATCCCCAAAAATTCAGTCAACGAGAACGTTATTTCCAGTAGTAAGTCTATGATGGAATTAAACAGAAATGGAGAAAGTGGACAGCCTTGACGGACAACACTTGAGGTTGAAAAATCAGATGAAAACTTTCCGTAGGCACTGACCCAACTGGTAGTGTCCGAGTAAAGAGCCTTCACAAGGTTTATGTATTTCTGGGGTACGCCTTTCAATGACAGACACTGACCCAGAACCTCTCGGTCTACAGAGTCAAATGCTGCTTTTAAATCAAGATAAACTTTCATTGTTGGACGCCGATAAGCATGTCTGTGTTCTAAGATCTGGCGAATGGTGAATATGTGGTAGATGCAGCCACGATCAGGTCTGAAGCCAGCCGGATTTTGCATTTCACCAGTTTTAGTTAGGCGACCGTTTATAAAGACAGGAAGGCCTTATCTAACCTATATTTTTAAAATCGTTCTTTATTTAAGTTAAAACAAATATTTGAGATTGTTTAAAATAAAAGTTTGTCATCAAAACATACTGCTGTATCACACGGAGCATCCTGATTAACAAACATGGAAGGATCAAATACACCTTGGGTAACCGCCATTTCAGTTTTAAGTGAGCTTAGTTCACTTAGGAAGTTTTGTGCCACCTCTTGTTGAACACTGGGAGTTAGAGAATCCCAATTGTGAAGGTAAGTCCAAGGTTCTTCAAGAACTTTCTGATATGCTATTGAATTTTGCAAACAAGATAAATCCATGTGAGGAACAACGAATTCATCATCTAAAAGGTAAGGAAACAGTAGTAATGAATTTAATTTTTGAGATCTCAGAATAAAATTAGCACTCACTAAAAAAAGGTAGAATGCAAAATGAAATATCAAATTAGCAGTCAAACTATCGAAACATATAGGCGAACCTCAGGACTATCTAACTTTATATAGTGATGGTAGGCTATTCAAGTCCACAAAATAGTATGTGATAAACTGAATTTCTCGTTATTAAAGAAAAGTAAGTTGATCCATACTGATCGCTAATTTACTAAAGAACTAAACAATGATAAAATTATTTAGATAAAGGTACAGAACTAGGACGTACACCAATAAGTGTTTTACAGAAGTCTAGATTACAGTTCTTCCATACTATTCAAGTAAGGATTGGTTAAAGAAAACAGTATAGACAGATTTATATTAGATCAATTTAACGCTGAAAACCTTACTCTACCGGAAAGAACTAGACTTTTTCCACACTATTTTTGATGATCATTTAGTGGCCTGTTGATCTGGCATCAATTTGAATTAATGAACGTGTCATGAGTGTAAATCTTCCGTTTAATTCCATATATTAGACATACGCTAACCCCGTTTCAGCGACGATGGTAATAAGAAGCCAAATACGGATTAAGGTTGATGAATTTATCTCAGGCAGATATCAAAATGAGAAGCAAGAATGCGAAGCGAAGACAAGCGTGCCAACTCGATTTGATGTGGTGTAACTCCCCATTTTTATTCGGACAAAAACAAGCTAAAGACATGTGATGAATAGAGCAAGCGATACACACATGCTTAAATGAAAACAGTCAAGGTTATGGGGGAATAGTTAACAAGGTCAAACTGTGACTCAGGAATCAGAAATCGGTCTGTATGAAGGCTAGAATAACCCCTGGAGAAATGACATAGTACTAGACTCTACAATCGCACCATTTATGTAAACATCTGTTTGTAAAAGCGAAAGGACAAAACCATGATTTAAAATGATAACAGCAATAATCTAATTCCACATAATTCTATAGTCCTGAAGTGCAAAGCAGAATTAATATTTTCTCATGCATGGTCCACCACGAACGATAAAACGGCTTATTGAACAGTGGCCTAGGGTTTTCAAACAGTCTAAACGTCAAAAATTCTTACCAGAATCATTTTTAACAAAACTTAGTCCACCGTCAGGTATTATAGTGATGTTTGGTATACAAGTCGACATTTGAACGTTATCGAACATAGCAAACAGGTTTACGATACTATTCACCTTGGTGGGGTTTCGTTCTCTCAGTCGATTGGTTAAGTCATGAAGCTTTCATTTTCTAACGCCACTACGACAAACTTTGAACAAATTTACCAGCGTTGAAAAAACCTGACTGTTGAGAGTTATTTGTGATAAGTTCCTGATATTTCTGAACAAATCTAAGGAGTGGTAACTACATCTACAAGTCTTGTTTCATGTGCACTACGATGGAATCGATAAACTGTTTATTTTGTTTTATTTTAACACATAGATATTGGTACAAGGGGGCACCAAATAAATATGCACCACACATCTCGTTTGATATGTATGAGGGCTGTGATAGTGTCCGGGTGCCCAAACCGAAGCAGATGGTTTCCTTAGGGGGCCACACCCGGAGCCTTCGACCTGAAGGTCTGACCCACAAGGCAGTGGAGCAACGTAAGGAGATGTAGTCCCATGGTAACCGGTGACCAATAATTGGTTCATACGCCATTTGTTCCCTCAGGGTACTGGAGCCCATGTGCACCATTGGTTTGGAATCAGGGTTTTCCAACTCCCTTAGGTGAACTTTCCATGTGCACCAACCCGGTTAAAGCGCCGGACATTCGCTTTCGTCATCTCAATTTCGTAAACAACACCCCGGCCACGAGAAGGCAGTGAGTAAGACTTCCCTGGCAGAGGCTATATACGCGTGTCCATGTGAGAGCATTTCGAGAGGGAGAGCGGACTCTCCCCACTTTTGGCCGTACCAGGGCATTTAAGGGGGGGGCATCAGTAAACAAACCTCAATATGAAAAGCAGGTAATAATAGTACCTGGAGATCCATGCTAAGGACTGTTCTAAGAATGTCGCCGATATCGAAGTTGAAGAATGGTAAGTGTGGGCAACCCTGCTAAATCAGAATAACGGAGAAAGGTGACTGTATACGTTTTCCATGTCTAAAGTGTGTACAGAACCTTTACGATGTTAACAAGCTCCTTAGTCACTACGTTATTCGACAGACAATCCCAAGGTGCAGAGCTGCCCAACGAATTGAAAACGGTTTTGGTATCAAGAAACACGTCTGTAGCAAGTGTGGCAGTGCATTAACAGTTTTCAGAGGGCGACGATGTGATCAATGCGTCCATGACCTGGTCGAAGGCCACCTGAGGATCAGTCTTCTATGGATTTTGTAGTCATGATTGAAGTCAGTATCTTGGATGCAATCAAAAGTAATTGTTACCTAGATCACACTAACGAGAAATATCCGTCGATTAGTATACAAAAGTGATTTTTAATTTGGACGTCATTATAGTAAGGTTATTTGTGATCAAACAAAGTTTATTTTTTGTACTTTTCATATCAAATCAGCTTCATTAAGGAACAACAAGTGTTCCCTCATCGTGATGTAGCAGTACATACGCAATGTTCAGACATTCTAGATCTTTAATTTTTGATACAAACATCATCGCAACAATCAACACAGCCATGAACGTAAATATTATCTTTTACAGTAAATTGCTAAGTGGTAGCCAAGATAATACGAGTTCAAAGATCAGGTGGAATTACATAAACTAACAAGTGGGTATATTTAAATTCACAACGTATTTGATAGACTATTTCAAGGAGTCAATACTTAACAATTTCGAAATAACAAAACTCCTTCATGGTAAAGCAAAAACACGAGTTGAGAATACTTGGGTTTGGGAGAGTTCGGTCAGCAACTCGACTACTCTGAGCGTATTGATGTATACGGCTTCAGAGCATAAACTTTCTAACGATGAATTCACTAACAAATATAAAATTATTAGTCCTAGGTGACTACCCGACCGTTGTTGCTACCTTGACGTGGTGGTCGGGCTTGCCTATCGTGATGAAGCAACCGAGCTATACTGGCTGGAACAACCGTTCCTCAAGGTCCTACCATGTCAGACAGGTCGGTTGAAGAGCGGTAAGACTAAAAGCAACAAAGCCAAGGTCCGAAGGCGAAGTCGTACTGCTGGCTGTACAGAGGTGTGGCAGCAGTAAGGTGTTTCCTTCAGACAACCAGCATGACAGCGATGCTGTCTTCCCACAAGGAGGGGTGGGGTTAGAAAAGGTCGACCCTAAAAATGCACACCTCGCCTTATCCCACGGATATCCGTCTCCCGCGGTAAGGTCCCAAAAAGTACGGAGCTAACACAAAAATTACCCATAAAAAGGTCGCGTGTGACCGACATCAAGCAGTTGTCCCTTGGGCACTGCGGTCACGCTTTCAGGTCACTAAGATCACCTCTAATCCAATTTCCTTTTCAGGTACCTCCAGAAGAACCCTTCCTCGGTGTGGGCGACCGGGAAGTGATAACCACCATCATACCTCTAACAGCATTCAAGACCACTGTATTCATAATCAACCTCCCTCTTTAATTCCTATTATTCCTCCTACATCGACTTTCAACTCTAAATTTCCTCTTTCGGCTTCCTCCTCAAGTGTCTCCATAGCCAACGATTCTAGTGCTCAAAACACTGTCCCATGTTTACTGAAACCTCGCTCCAAACTACACATTGGAGCCTTCAACGTACGAACCCTATGTCAAATCGGTCAGCAGGCTTCCTTGGCTAAAACCCTAGAGTCTCTTTCCATCGATGTATGCTGTCTCCGAAACACGCATACAGGATTCCAGTGTGGTTATTCACTTGACCTCACCTCGGCAAAACGGAGAGCCAACGAGATACACCCTCCGTGTATCTGGTGACCCGATGGCCAGTTCTCGTGGACTTGCAGGTGTAGGCATAGCACTAAGCATGAGGGCCGAACAAGCACTGCTAGAGTGGATTCCCGTTAACAGTCGTCTATGTGCTGTTCAGCTAAATGGCTCCGTAAGAATTCGGAAGGATAGGGACACACGTCGTTGCCTTTTCGTCGTTCCTACCTACGCTCCCACTGACTGCAGCTCAGATGAAGTGAAAGGTGAATTTTACAGAAAGCTGTCCGAACTTCAGAAAGCTAAACGCTCAGACATAGTACTCGTAGCAGGTGACTTTAATGCTCAGATAGGTAGTTTAAACCAAACAGAAAGGCATTTAGGTGGATATTTTAGTATTCCGGCACAGCGAACGGATAATGGTGATCGTATGTTGCAACTATGCTCAGACAATCGTTTATTTTTAGCAAACACCAATTTTAAGCATAAGGAGAGACATCGTCTAACATGGCGACCCCCTACACCAAACCAATGATGGACTCAAATAGACTACATTGCCATCAGTCATCGTTGGAGAGGGTCGTTAGGAGATTGTCGCTCATTCTGGAGTATCTGCTTGGACTCCGACCACGCCCTAATACGGGCACGCATCTGCTTGCGCCTCACTGGACGCAAAAAAGCCACATTAAAAAGACCCGTTAGGACTCAGTTGAGTAACGAGAAAACCAAAAGTAGGTTCCAGGAACAACTGAGTTCACACTTAGGTAATTCTGAAGACGAGGCTGACCCAGATGTTGCTTGGAAAGACATACAAGCAGCTGTGGAAGCAGCAGTGACATCTATTAGCAACTTAAACCACAGAGTTTCAAAGGACCAGTGGATTTCTTCAAAGTCTATCACACTGATGGATTCTCGCAAACTCGTCCCATCAGGTTCCGAACATGATGAGGAGCGACAACAAATCAGATCTAGGTTAAGAAAAAGTCTAAGGAACGACCGTGAGCAGTGGTGGGTAACGAAAGCAAAAGAGATGGAAAAGGCGGCCGCCATAGGTAGCACAAGACAGCTCTACAGACTAATAAAAGAAACTGGAATTAATAAGTCAAGTGTAAGTGAGACTATTTCGGTAAAAGACGACACTCTCATCCGCTCCCAGTCCAGATGTTTAGAACGATGGGCGGAACATTTCAGAGAACAGTTCAACTGGCCTTCAGCTACTCTACAACAACCCACCATTCCCAGACAATGTGAATGGAACATTGAAGTAGGTCCCCCAACTCTTGCTGAAGTTGAGAAGGCTATAGTTAATCTGAAACGAGGAAGGGCAGCTGGTCCAGATGGATTGGCTCCAGAAGTCTTTAAGGATGGTGGTCCAGTTTTAGCGATTAGGTTGACTAATATTTTAGCTAAGATCTGGGAGTTAGACGTTATCCCATCTGACTGGTTGCAATCACTTATCGTCCCAATATATAAGGAGTCAAAATCATCCTGTGACAACCACAGAAGGATGAGATTAACAAATATAGTACCTAAAATACAAGCCTCGATAATTATCAAACGCCTAAGATTCGTGAACTGCAAACACGAGAAAACCAAGCTGGCTTCAGACCTGGTCGTGGCTGCATCGACCACATATTCACCATTCGTCAGGTTCTAGAACACAGGCATACTTATCGGCGTCCGACAATGGTGGTCTTTCTTGACTTAAAAGCAGCATTTGACTCGGTAGACCGCGAGATTCTGTGGCAGTGTCTGTCATTGAAAGGCGTTCCTCAGAAGTACATAGACGTTGTGAAGGCTCTCTACTCGAACGATACTAGTCGAGTCAGAGCTTATGGCGAACTGTCATCTACTTTTGCTACCTCAAGTGGTGTCCGTCAAGGCTGTCCACTTTCTCCATTTTTGTTTAACTTCATCATAGACCTATTGATGGAAATAACTTTCTCGTCGACTGAGTTCTCGGGTATTGATCTCCTACCGAGAGGTCCACTTATCGACTTAGAATACGCAGATGACATAGTCCTGTTTGACGAAGACACTGAAAAAATGCAGAGTATTTTGATAGCACTGAGCAACAATGCCAGAATGTTTGGAATGCGCTTCTCTCCGTCTAAATGCAAGTTGTTGCTTCAGGACTGTTCTGCGGTAACACCTGAACTGTGGATAGAGAGTGAAGTAGTCGAACGCGTTGACAACTTCACTTATCTTGGAAGTCTGATCAACCCTAATGGGTTGGTATCGGACGAAATCTCATCACGGATTCGAAGTGGTCGTTTGGCTTTTGCCAACTTACATCACCTTTGGAGAAGGCGAGATATCCGTCTATCAATAAAAGGACGTGTATACTGCACCGCAGTCCGTTCTGTTTTAATTTACGGCAGCGAAACATGACCATTAAGAGTAGAAGACACTTGTAAGCTACTAGTATTTGACCACAGATGCCTTAGAAATATTTCAGGCGTCTGCTGGGATCACTGGGTAAGTAATAGTGAGGTTAGACTCAGGGTATTAGGTAATGATGGTAAATCAGTTGATGAGGTTGTGAATCTTCATCGACTGAGATGTTTGGACCACGTGCTACGTATGCCTGAACACCGATTATCACGTCGTGCAATGCTAATCGGTGTTGGGGGTGGTTGGAAGAACGTTAGGGGCGGCCAAACCAAAACGTGGCATCAGTGCTTGAAGTCACTAACTTCTAGTCTGAGCCATGTTGGTAGATGCAGACTACTTGGTTGGGGTCCGCGTGACTTTCGTAACCAATGGTTGGAGACTGTGGGTGACATGGCTCAGAATCGATCACAATGGCGTCGCTGTATACACTTTCTGTCTTCCCTTAAACTAAGAGATTAAAATCACTTCATATCTTTCTTTCTACGAACTAATTCTTTCTTCCTATACTATATCCTTATTGCAATCTTCCTCTTATATATTACCACCTTTGACCTAACCACTCCTATGAATCCGGTGTTCATCTTGCTGTGCTAATGAGGTATGGCAACCTGGACCGATGCATATATGTGCCTGGTCCTACGTTGTAGCTGAGTGACTGACCTAGGTGACCTTCAATGGTACGCCAAAATATACTACGAAATCACTAGAGATGTATAGCGACTTATCAAAAAATTTTACGGTATATTTTTGACCAGTAATTATGGTTTAGCACTAAAAACAAGTATAGATTACCCAACTCACACCGTGCGTTAACAATAAAATGTAAGTACGTCTAAATTCCACCAAACGTTTCTTCAAATAGGTCATTCTTGATTATCTTTAGGTTTAATACATACCTATGGATAGCATGGATGATGTTCACCAAATAACCGTAGAGGCTTGGATCCACACTGAGATGCTACCTTTGATGAAGGTTTGTGTATCTGCAAACGTTTCTCTACATGCCATAAGTAGTAAATACGCGGACTCAATAAAACCAGGAAAATGGAACCGCGTGTTAGACCTAATGAAGAACTCAACAATATTCATGAATATTTTACATACTCTCAACTTTGTGGGAAAGCTAACGGGAAATTTCAGAGGAATGCAGTTCGGGAATTCAGTAGAAAGTTATAGGAGACGATATAAAATAGGTTTTCGCATTCTTTTCAGAATTCATCTAGAAGGTCAAATTTTTGATAATGTATACCAGATTAGTCGCTCAAAGTTCCCAGCACCAGCGTTAACCCAATCCATGATTTCTTTTGGTGTTGGACACTGCCTGCAGGTACACAATTGTTTGTTAACTAGCAAACTACTAAGCATAACTAGTACTTATTGATTACACTAATAACGACGCGATCTATGCTAAGGGAAAATTTCATTATCATAGGACAAACTGGACGCTAACTTTTACTTGTATACGAATTGAACTGCAAAGATGAACTTAATTAGACATGACAATGGATGATAACAACAATTTAAGTTATGCACACTTCAAACATAGAATTTTAGTCCTTCGACATTGTCATAGATCACTGCAAAATTACGATTTGACTTTTGACCGAACTATTCGCTAACGCTATGCAGTGTAAGACGTCAAAAGGAAATATATAAGGATATTTCTGTATATTACTAGAGGTACTTACGCAGCAGAAATTCCTGATGAGGTCATAATCTATGAACGAACTAATCAAATTTAAGATGGGTCTTTGGATTTGGCGAGAAATTCAACCACTCATACTGCTAAATATAATATTGGTATCATAGCTGGTGTCAGTTCGCGATGAAAACATTTTGTCTAATTCCCAATCCTAACGTTCCTAGTTCCTTATATCAACATAAAACCCTTATTTAATCCTAATAAGTATGTAGACATTCCATGGTCATTTCAGAGTTGCTTAAACGTCGTCCGTAAATTATAGTCTAAATTTCTGTTGAATTTCGAAAAAGATCAACATCTCTTCATCGATATTCAGAATCTGAGCGATTTTCACAACGTTGCTGTGTTGAAGTTTTTATAAAATTTTGGAGAAGTCCTCAAAAGCCAATGAATTGTTTGTGGAAGTTCACTGGACTAGTTTAAATTTTGCGATTCGGTGTTTTCTTTATTCCGAAGTTCCCACTGAGTCTATCAATTCCTCCGAAACGTCAAAAATTTTAGGATACTTAAGTGGCACCAAATAAAATATTTTAATTTTGCAAACAATGAAGAACAATATGCCTTCAAATAACTACCTTGAGAAACCATGCCTTAAGGCAACGTTACGTTTTAAAAATGGTGCTAGTAAACATCTAGCAAAACTTACATAAAAAATTCAGCATTTCTTAACCAGTAATGTCAATTCTTGTGAAATGTGAAATTTGTTTTCATTGTCTTCATATTTCTCTTGCGGTTCTTAGCTTCAACAGGCTACAAGAATTCTACTGTTTTCGTAATTATGAATGTATTTAATTAGTAATTTTTGTTATAGTGAGCATTTTTCACAGTTTCACACAGCTTGCACAGTCTCTTTTGTTGATTGTCGTGTCGCTGTTAAACTTTTTCATTGATCTGTTATTTTCCTGTTCTCCGTTCGCTTGAAATTGATTTTGACTGTTACATACTCTGCTGCACACCCATTTCCAGTTCTATAACGGACATCTTGTATATCAGCAATCCATGTAAAAACATCGTATGAATATTTCCATTACGTAATTATCCCGTAACCCTATTATCTTTGATTATATTTATTATACTTGGAATCCTAGCGTATTTCTTTTAACTGAGGATTACTAAATCAAAACTCAAAACTTCGTATGCATTTTGTTTGTTGGTATTTGTGGTTGGATGTCTTATCAACTATCTTCGTACTTTTTGTAATAACTCTATCATCATTTCTGAACTTGATCCACCGCACTGTCTTTACAGTTGATAATTTCATTTTGGAAAGAGAGATAAGAAGGCTTCAGTTGGTTGCATACATCGCGCATAAAAGAAGATTTGCATAAATTCCGGGTCATCGAATTCAACTATAAGACGGTGGAATGTAATGGATTGTAGACAATCTGTGACTTTATCTACAAGGTCTGGGTCCCTATGGATAATGAACTGGATTGGGAAAACGAAGAAAGTGTTTTAAGTCATAAATTAGTTTATTTTAGTTGACAGATTTCTCTACAGATACTCAATATAGTGTCAACAACTCTAGCAGCTTTTGGTTAGGCAAATATATTCATTTTAAAATTTCAATGTTTACAAACTCTGGATCAGGTTATTTTTGTAAAAAAAGGTACTGAATCCCACACTTTACATCAGAATGAATCTAGGGACATTGTTTCGCCATACACCTAACACCCGACCATTCTATTAATAGGTCCGGATCTCTCATGATAATATTCATGTCAATAGATCATCGGGATGTGAAATGATCAACGATATTAGAAAACCAAAAATAGAATTCATACATAAGATGAGTAAGATACAGTTTGCAATGTATTTCTAGTTTGATGAAAGCATTCTAAGGCCAAGCCAAATTACCTCACAGGCTCACCATACCCCTGAATTAAAATACTTACCACTGAAAGCTAAATCATCTACAAAGCTCTATATCCATACCATGGAAGAACTGAATAATTCGCCTACTGATGCTGGTGAGTGTGGCTACCTGTAGGTTCCTATATCTTATTTTCTTTTATATCCTTCATGACAAGTGTGTCAAACTCCGCGTAGTAAAATTCTGCCTGTGTTCTGAAGGCATTGTTGAACAAGGGCAGCCTGACAACTTAGTCAGAATGAATGAGCTTAGGACAGATTAAATGTAGTGAATCTAGTAAAAGATTGTTTGAGCTGAACAGTCATAACATTATATTTTAACTCTTGAGAGCCAGGATGTTTGGTCGAACTGTATAAGCAAGCTTTATAGACCATTTATTACCAAACACCTACATTAACCACAACTTTTCAGCTTATCATCATTCCGTACTATTTGCCTGCGTGCAACACACAGTCAGCCCTTCACAGAAGTGGATTTCTCTCGACTAGGATTTTTTAAATCTGATAATACTTTTATCGGCTCGACTTAAAGGTAGATCTTCGGAAATCGCTAAAAAACTACAGTATGTAGCTTCTGGTTTTTATAAGGACAAAGTTTCCTCAAAAGAAAAATAAACATGTTAGGCGTAGACTACATGCCGCAGGTTCGTTTTAATTTCCAGAAAGTGTCACGTTTCATACAAATACAACTGTGTTAAGGAATGAACCCACAGGTTTCACGATGTAAGCAGCAAGCTGATGTAGTCGACTAGGATGCTCCTCAACAGGGTTTGTCGATCTTCCTATATCATAACTGTTCACTAGTCGGATAGACTGAGATATTAAGTTGTGGCTTGATCCAAGTTTTGGTTATAATGGTCTGTTGTCTTTGTGATGGAGGTACGTCAATATGCTAATACTCTTGCACAATAATCCAGGAATGTCTCGGATTCATCGTACGAGTGTGGTGAGTTAGAATAATACACGAAAACAAATGTTTTAGGTATAATGTGTATCGATTAGTGAGCGTGTTATTATTTCACAGTTTAAAGTAAATGTATGATATTAGTGAAGATCACCAACGTAGGTGATCTATGTTAATGACTGAAGGCCAACCCGAGTCGAAAGTGGTGTGACCGATCGGTGTACGTCAAAGTCACAACTCACAGTCAATACACAATGTAGACTACCGTTTGATCGTATCCAGACACTATGTGGAATTTGATGACCACATACCAGAGACAAAGGTATCACAGAAACATATAAGTAAGAATAGCTAAAAGCAGTATAGAACGAATATTGACGTATGGCCCAGTTTGCTTGAGGAATACTGATTGGGTGTCGATGGTATCTGAATAGTTATATAAAAAAACAAACTATTTTGCAAGCCCCTCAGTTTAGATCTTTATTTGTTAGAAATATAATCACGACAAAAGACATACATGGCGGCTGCAGTTCTGGAAGCATTTCGTGCCAACAGACGTCGATTGCCACCTGGAATCCACATGCACCCGGACAGGCCATATGAAGCCAGGACCAAGCACAAAGGCAAGTTGGAGCTGACCATTCCACTTGTGGATTGTCTAAACGATAAAAAAACGTGTAAAGGACAGGGCCTACCACCTCGGTAAACCTCACATGGGTGGGCTACCTGTCCATTCACATAAGGATCACACAGAAAAACAGGAAGAAGCTCACGCCTTCCAAATTGAAAGCATAAATTGCTTATATATGAACACCTCGAGTCTACCAAACAAACTGGATGAATTACGTGAACTTTGCGATGCTCATAAAGCCCACCTGATAGGAATATCTGAAACCTGGATATCTTCTCAGTTCTCGGACGAAGAGTTAGCATTACCAGGGATGACTGTTCCGCAACGACAGAACAACAGGAATTGGGGGTGGAGTAGCCATATACATAAGCTCTTGCTTGGAGGTGCACCAAGTTCACAACAATCTTGAGGAATCCATATGGTGCTCTGTAAGATTGTCTAGCACTTGGAGGTGTCTAGTCGTTGTCATTTACAGGAAGCCAACTGCTGACATCGAGTACGATAGTCGTATGCTGGATGGACTATCCCGCTCTACCCGTCTCGGTTTCACACATATCCTGATTCTAGGGGACTTTAACCTTCCTAGAGTCAACTTCGTGGAACACACGTATACTGGAGGTGACAACTCAATTGAAGCTCGGTTCTTCAACCTCATCGATGACTTGGGCTTATATGAAAATGTGAGGTCGGCAACTCGTTGGAGAAACAGTCAGACACCATCGTGGTTAGACTGTGTATTCACAAACGAAGAATTCCTAGTTGACAACCTCTCAATCTTGGCTCCTCTGGGAAAGAGCGATCATGCTGTCATAGCCTTCAGTTTTGTCACCAAAACTAAGCTAAGGTATCCCAACAATAATTTGCGTTGGAATTTTAAACGGCTGAATGTGGCAGCTCTACACGACTATTTACAACAGGTGGTTTGGGATGTTCACCCTCAACTCGATGTGGACGGTCACTGGAACTTCTTACTGCACACGCTCTTATGTGCTACAAACCATTCAGTTCCTCAAACGGTTCCCAAAAGCTGTAAGCCACCTACAATAATCAAGAACCGTACCCTCCGCCTGCTAAGCCGTAAAAGGCACTGTTGGGCGGAATACAAACGAACTGACAACGACGGAGCGTATAGGCAATTCAAACATATCAGGAACATATGCACGAAGGCTATAAGAGAAGACAGGCTTCAGTATCAGACAAAGCTTATGGACAAATTTGCCTCGAACCCTAGAAGCCTATTCCGTTATGCAGCCTCTCTTCGTCAAGCCAAAACAGGAGTTTCTCAACTGCTAGGTCTTAACGGCCCAACCAACAACGATGGTGACGCCGCTAACCTTCTGGCGGCACATTACTCTCAAACACTTCAGCCGGCTGACATCAACTCTATTGACGACAGTTTCACCTGTAATTCCACAGGGCTTTCCGAAGTGGACCTAAGCGCTGACTTGGTGTTCCGGAAACTGCAGCACTTAGGACTAGATACTTCTCCTGGCCCGGATATGGTTCATTTTGCCATACTGAGGGAGGCAGCCTCAATCCTGGCAACGCCGCTTAGCGTGATGTTTTCACACTCGCTAAGCCAAGGCAAACTACCGGAAAATTGGAAGTTGGCTCACATCACACCAATTTTCAAAGGGGGTCGACGCAATGAACCTTCAAGTTATCGGCCGGTGGCTCTTCTGTCATTACCTTCAAAACTCATGGGTCCCTGATATGCGATGGTTTAAACGATTATCTACTGTCCTTAAACTTCTTCTCACCCCAACAGCATGGTTTCAGGAAGGGTTACCCTTGTATAACCAACCTGCTGACTGCGGTGGACAGATGGACAAGCATCCTCGATCGCATGGGAAAGGTTGATATCATATACCTTGACTTCTCAAAAGCTTTTGATAAAGTTAACCACTTGTGTCTTATCAATAAGCTCAAACGACTAGGTATCAAACCACCTCTAATCGATTGGCTTACTTCATACCTAGAAAATCGACACTTTAAGGTTAGGGTTAATTTCACTTTATCTCAGGCTATGGAATGTCCTAGTGGGGTTCCCCAGGGCTCAGTATTAGGGCCTCTTCTCTTCTTGATCTACATAAACGATCTTCCTCAACAGGTAACGTCAGACTTACTACTTTTTGCCGATGACGTGAAACTTTGGAGAGAGATACGCAACCAAGACGATACACAGGCACTTCAGGAGGATCTGACTCGACTTCAAAGTTGGGCAGAT